GGGGGTTCCGCAGACCTGCAGACCTCCTTAGACCGTCGTGTAGGGAAAGAGTGGTTCTGTAAGCATAAATAAATCTTAAAAAAAAAAAAAAAAAGGTAAGAAGGATTTGTTTTGAAAGCTTTAAGAGACAGAAATGAAAGAACAGCTTCTAAAAAGATACAGAAGCCAAAACTGCAGGCTACATATGAGCAGATTGAGACACTTCAGCAACCAGGAATACAGGGAACTGTTAAGCAGGAAACTGAGGCACATTAAGTTTTTAAGCATTTATGTGAGCATTCATTGATTTGAATCAGGCAGTGCTTCACCAACAGGAGCTGAGGGCCACGTTTTTCTAGAAAAGACCTTGAAGCAAAGAAAATATTTGACTGATTGTAGTAAAAGCAATTGCCTTCTTTGGGAGAGAGTAGTTGACTGTTTGTGATTTGTTGTTTCCAGGTTTCTTTTCCTCAGATTAAAGTGTGTTGCATCTAGCTTGGGTTTGGTTTTCTTGCATGGGCATCTCCAAGGTATCCCAGTCTAATGGCCTCCTTCTTTAAATACTTTAACAGAACAGATAGAATACTGAGGCTCAAAAGAGAAGGAAACTAAATTGTAGCTGGCTTTGAATATTAATAGAATCAGACCTGTGTTAAGAAATTATCCTGGAAGTCCTGAAGGAATCCTATGGGGGAGATGGGAAGAACAGACCATCACAGTAGTCCACCCAAGAAGAGCTGGCATTGGGTTGTGGAAAATACAGATCTAAGGGAGATTACGAAGACTGACTCAAGTGAATCTTGAGTTTATGTGGTTACAAGAGAGTGGAAGTTGAAGATGACTCAGTGGTTTCCATTTTAGGAGGGTGTCGATGTTTTAGCAAATATTGAGAATTTAGGAGGCATGAGGAACTTTCAATGGAGTGGATAATGAGATCAGTGTTTGTATATATCTAAGTTGCTTTGGAACACAGTTCTGAAAATACCCAGGGGAAATCAAATCAAAGCATACAGATTTGAGAGGAACTTAAGACAGAAAAGAAAGAAGAAATGAAGGGATGGGACAGGAAGCTGCAGTCTCTTGAAAGCACCAGGAAGAAGAATCAGAACTAGCTGGACAACGAATAATTTTCTTCCAAGATGAAATAGATCTTTTCAAGGCTTTGGAAAGTTCATTTTCATCTGTAAGGTCTCTGCCAAATGGAAAAGAGGCAAGGGTGTGTCAGGGAATTAATACAGGTTGGGGCATGCTGGGGAAGGCAGAGAGGGACAAAATCAATCCCACGGAGACCAGATAATAGCCATGGCATGGAGACATTGGGGAAGAGCAGCAGACCTTTTTCCTCAGTGTGTATCTTAAGATTTTTAATGTAATTGTTTACTATCTCTCTCATTCCCTTCCTCCCTCTCACACCTTCTTGCCTTCTCTCTGTTTTGTAACACCTCCGTCTGTCCTTCTTGTAGATAAAGTAGTCTGAAGTATGCCTGGTTTCCATTTACCCTCATGAAGCTCGGTATGAAAATATTAGTACAATATAAGATATTCTGAGTGATGACAGACCACAATCAGCTCTATTTTACTACAGTATGTTATAATTATTCTATTTTACTACTAGTCACTCTTACTAATCTCTAACTGTGCCTAATTTATAAATGAAACTTTATTATCGGGATGTGGTGTATGGCACAAGAAAAACCAGCTTTTCAAAAATCCACTGGGAGTGGAAGTCAAAGATCCCCTGGGGGCCTTGGAATGTATCCCCCATAAATGAAGAGACTGTTGTTTCAAAAAGTATCACTAGATAAAAATCTGCTTTGGAACAGGTGGGGAGAGGGAAAGGTTCAGAATTGATCCTAGGCATTAGTGGCTCCAAGTGATACAGTCTGGGCTGGAGGAGTAAGTGTTGCCGTCAGGAAGGGGAAGAGGTGGACAATGTGGAGATCTAAACAAGAAGCCCAGGAGGGAAGACTGGAAACTGCCCCCATCTCCTTCTACTCCCACCCTAGAACCACCCCTTTCTACTCCCACCCCAGAATCATTCCCTTCCACCCCACCCCAGAACCATCCTCTTCTACCCCCACCCAGAACCACATGCAAAAGTGAATTCTCCACCCTGGACTCCAGCAAACCCCCTGGAATCATGTTTGAAGAAGGAAATGACTGCCAAGTTCTCCCCTCAAGTTTAAAGCATGACTAAGTTAACTGTCATCACCTGCCGCAAGTTGGGAACCCCAGTTTTGCGACTCAGAGAGGGATCTTGAAGTAGGTCATTAACTTGGCAGTCCCTCAGTCTCCACTGTGCTAAAATACAGCCTCCTTCACCTGACAGTGTGGCTGATAACAATGATTTACAGATGGTATATTTTGCAAATTCCCAGTGATTATTAAAAAGTGCTTGTCACTCACCCGCCTGGTGTTGAGCCAAGGAAGCACTTCTGTGGAGGTTGAAATGCTTCATCGTCCCCCATCCTCAAAGAGCCATAAACACCAGGCCCTTCATGTCACAGTGACTGCTGGTCAGCACCCCACTTCGTGCCCCACCTGTTATACTTGCTGTCTGTTGCACTACAGCCCCAACCTGGACTCAAGGGTGGGTGGGTCAGGCCAAATACTTCATTACAGAAGTAGTATTTTCACAAGAAACACTTGTGAAACAATGCTTATGAAGAAAATGTTAGATATCTGAATGGTGCACAGTTTATAAACTGAGGATGGAATATAACATGAACTCTGGAAATTCCACACTGTTATAGATGTGCCATTAGTGTGGTGAAGAGAAAGACACAGATCAAGAAGCAACTGGAAGCAAATTTTCAGAACTCCTCAGCTCCCAAGGAGTTAAAAGAGTAGCAGTTTGAATGGGGGGGGAAGGAAGGGAAATGCACGGGACTATGGTGATGGCACAGGGGTGATTTGGTGATGGGAAACCCGCGGGGATTACAATCGAGATGGAAAAAAAAATGTGCAAAATGATGTAAAAATAAACTTTGTAATAAAAAAAAAAGAGTAGCAGTTTGTACATGGTAGTTCTTAGGTATTAGTAATAGAATTGTTCTTTCTCCAGAGTAGTGAGCTGGCTGCTGGTATGCATGTTGTTTAAATGTTCCCTCTGGCAAATATAGCACATCTCTTTTTATCTCAAGCTGAATTTGTAGGTTTGCAACCTTTTATCAACCTTTTATCATTGAGTAAAGTGATTATTTAAAATTAACAGATGCTTTCTGATTATAAAATAATGCATGTTCCTTGTACACCATTTGTAAAACACAGAATTGCACAATGAATAAAAGGATGAAAGTTCTTTTGCTTCCAGTACTCAGGGATGTCTGATGTTTGTGGGTGCTTATATGGGATATTCCTCTTGATGATGATGGTGATGCGCTTACTGTATAGCCAAGCACGGTCAGTGGGTTCTCAGTGACACTTCTCTATTTTGC